AACCAGGCACACGCACACACACTAGGGGTCATGCAGGGCTGAAAGTCTCCTTAATGACCAAACAAATACATCCAGCTGGCCTCACAATGCTCCTGCAGAACCCCCCACCCCCCGACACGGACAGCACACGGAACGAGAGACTGAAGCCTTCAGTAACGAGAGAGGCACTACGACACTTAGGACCTTGTGTACAGGGACCTACCGACCTGTCTCAATCAGCAGATGGCTTTGTAACAGCCCACTAGCGAATTATCACTGTCCTTCAGTAGAAAACAACACATCAGCAAATATTATATACCTGCAACTGCCAGGTGAGGCTATTTCTGAACACGACAGTAGGTTTAATTAATCAGTCTAGCATTTGGGGCACAAGTCAAGCCACCGACCTGCCAGCAACCCATTTTCCAAGAGGGCCCAGTATAACTTCAACTGTCCAAACTGGTAAGAGCTTCAGCTGCCCATATCCGGTATGGCCGCTAAGCTACGCTACGCTAACTAAGCACCTTCCGCATACCTGGCTGCGGTTGTCTTCCGCTTCCTCCTCGCGTCTCTCCTGAGCACGCCGGCGACGCGGCTGGTAGTAGTGCGTGTAGGTGGCGCCCCTGTTTGTGTACACGTGGACGTTTCCTGTGGAAGACGCAGGGCGTGCGGGTAGGCCAGGGGACTGTAAACGCGGCACGGCAGCTGATAGCATTTTGGCTAATTACACAGCACCGTTACCGGAATGCGGCCGGGTCAGGGACCTCGATTACATTTCAATCATTCAAGTTGCATTGGACACACATCTAAATAACAATAATTCGACGTGCAAAAATTAGGTGTTACAGTAAACTGTAAAAAAAAAAAAAGCTTTAAAATGCTAATGTGTTCTTTGTGGTACTGTGTTACTAGGGTATTGGGCTAATTCTGGGCGAGATGGATACTGGGCCTCTTTTCAGGCCAAACAGGAGGCGTATAAAACCAATGAGGCAGACTGCTGACCTGTGGGAAACCGGCCCGCAAAGAAAGCATTGAAGAGCTCTTCGGGGGAGATGTCCGCCTTGAAGTCTCGGGCGAAGTTGCGGTGGGGTCCGGGGGCAGGGTGGGCCGTCTGGTGCCGGGGGCTCTCAGCCGATGGCGCCTCGTTGCACAGGTCGTACTGCCTCCGCTTGTCTGGGTTGCTCAGGACCGCGTACGCATTCCCTATGGCTGCGGTCACCATGGCGACCGGGTCACAATCATTCCGATGGTTCCTGGTTCTCAAGCATGCTAGTCTTCAGTTCAACTTCTCTCGTTTCAAAAAGAATATTCACTAAAGCCTTTGCAAGTCTGCCTCACATGAACAAGGATTAAATAGCCCTTCGCGTGAGTCACAGAGAGCAAGTTTTTCTTTTTAGTGGCACATCAGAAGCTAGATTGGTGAAGTTCTACAGCTGATTTATCGTGGTATAATTTACAATTTACAAAAGTCGCAATAAATACTGACTGATGACACGATAGTAATACATTCATACAACATTTCAGAACACACATTTTAAAAACTATGTCACTCAGTGATTTGTCCGAGTGGTGCATTGTGGGATACCTGGTTCTGCTGGGGTTACCTTTGAAAGCATCTGTGGCTCCAGGAGCACAGTTTTTGTCAGGGTGGAACTTGAGTGCCAGCTTCCTGTAGGCCTTCTTCAGGTCCTCGTCGCCGGCGTCTTTGGCCACGCCGAGGATCTCATAGAAGTCCTTGCATTTCTTTATCCTGAAAGTTTGAAGGAGACAGACATTTGAGAAGAACCGTAACCAAAATTCTGAGCTACAACTGCTTGTCTACACGTTACCAAATGTAATAAGTAGACCTGGGTTGTTTCTCAATCTGCGTACTTGACCGTACTTGTGTTCTCGTGTAGCTGTTTTACGTCATCTTCCATTGCCGAAGACCAGCACCAACACTAAGAAGTACAGAGGACGGTGAAAATCCTCACCTGAGGACCCCCTGACGCTGGTCCTCGCTGAACTTCTCCTCGCTTCCCCTGCTGCTATCCTCCTCCCTCGAGCTCCACCCACGAGCATCGTGAGCGTGGACCTCCTCAGTGGGGCCACCCTCATCCCTCAGGACCGCGTCAATTAAAACTGGGGGAAAAGGGAGGCACACGGTGAAGATTCAGGCAAGGACAAGCACTCCTTCTCCAGCACAGGCTGCCCTATTTGAAACACTGACCTTTGATGGTTGCAGGAAGTTTGTAAGAATAAGAATAATAGCTTAAGTGCTAGAGCTGGAATCCATCTGATCCAGATATACTTAGAGAATGAAAATGTGAACTATTTAAATGAATCACACCCTGCTTCGCCCATGAAGAGACTGTATGTCTCACTGTACCACCTGAGTTTTTTCTGGCTTAGTCCGGATTCCTCCCGCAGTCCATAGACAGGCAGTTACGTGTGGATGTACCCTGCGATGGGGGTGGCGCCCCCTTTGGGCCATCCGGGGTACACCCCAGCCATAGGACCTTTGCTACCCAGGATAGGTTCCATCCCACCCCCTTGACAAATGGTCCGAAGACGAATGGACATTTTGTGTCCTTGCACTTAGACCAGGGATATTAACTGGCACCTTCACAAAATCCCCAGGGACCTTTATGCTGTAACCCACAGCTTTCAAGCAGAAGAGGAAAAGCCACTTTATTTTGACATAAGAAGTCAGGTGTCTGAATCACACAGCATGTGACTTTTACTCTGCGCAGACAGGAAAATCACAACAGAGACTTATTTAGCTCAAAAAAAATCCTTTCAAGTAATTAATTCGGCAGGTTCCCAGCTCTAAGATGACCGGACGGTTCTTACAGTATGGCACTCTGATCACTGGGAATGAGACCGACGGACTTCCTACACTGTGCGATAAAAGCAGTTTTGTTTACTACAATAGCTCGGATTTCTCCATTGTTGTCGCACCCGGATTGGTCGTCAACATGTCCATCCTCCCCTGATTTACTTCCTGGTATATATTGCAGGAAACACTCCGGAGGTAAGGAGCAAAGGAAGAGCGAATCCGGCATTTCAGACTGACTCCCATGGATCGAGTCAAACAAAGGCTTCAGACGCGGAGGTATAACCAGAGACTTACTTTCTGCAGGTCCCAAGAGGAGCTCCACCTCGCTACCAGAGCGCGACCAAAATATCCAGCTGTTAAAACGTCAAACTGTAAGATGTATCAGTCCCTTGGGAAAAATGTGGGAGGTCTCTTTGAAGGGGTCAGTTTAATATGTTCACTTTCTGACATACTGATAAATTATAAATCCATCGTACTGGATAAGGGAGTTGAGGATGGAGACACATGAAAAATTACTTTTTGAAATCTTGCAAATCAAACTGCAAAGTATATATATAAAAAAAACTGATTGATTTATTAGTTCCAAATGGCAACATACAATTTATATTTAAAAGTTACCATTTAAAAAATCCATGCATCTTCCATAACTGATTTTCGAGTATGTGGTCACTGAGAGTCTGGACTCTGTCCCAGGGCGGGGTACCCAGGGCGGGGTACCCAGGGCGTGGTACCAGTCCATCACACTCATACGGAGACACCGGCTCACCTAACTGCATGTCTTGGGATTGCAGGACGAGTCTCCCATGACGTGTGGAATATAATACCTTGGAGTGGAGTTATAAACCACTGCAAAGTTAGAGTTAATGTCCTCGTGAACCTGGTGAATTAGCTTAATTCCCATTGGTTTACATATCCACTAGTTTGGTCAGTGGCTGGCAAGTTCTGCCTCAACTAATCACCAGCATACCTACCAATAAGTTACAGTCATAGTGGAGTAATGAGATCTACTAAAGGATAATCTCTCTGTGCTTACAATTCCAGGCACGTAAGATTCCACAGTGGCCCCAGGGCAAGTAGCAATATTGTTGTAGCATCTGTCTGTCAATTCATACCTGGCACATTTTCACCAGTAAACATCACCCCTTTATCTGTATTACACAATGACTCGTGACGGCACTTCCATGACACTTCGCAGGAGGCAGATTAGATGGATTAGGTAGGAGGTGTGCATCCAGACGGGATGTCACACAGTAAAACAGGCACACACGCCGACAGGGCGCACTCAGCGTCCCCATAAGCATTACCTCTCGCCCGGGTGCTGGGGTAGACCCTCTGCGCTTCATAGAGCAGCTGAAGCGCCCGGTCCCTGCGCCCGAAGCGGAGACACTGCTTCGCCTTCTCTATCAGCCGCTCCGATTCCTCTTTATCCATTTCTAATGCGAATCTTTCAAACCGCGATCACCCCCCTTTATATCGGCAGAAAGGAAGCAGCTGGCAGTGGAAGGAGCAGGGGCTTGATTTTCCGCTAACAGACCCGATCGGCTATTTAATGTTTAAATGCACGTCCAGAGGCATAACCTTGTTTGTGGATCGCCGATCGTGCCGCTTTTTTCCCAGTGTTGGTTGCTTGAGCCGTGTTTTGTACGACGCATAATTACACGCTCGCACTTAAAGCCCGTCCGCTACCCAAGTGCCGAAAGCAGGCGAAATAATTGCATGGCGAAGGGAAATCTAACACCGCCGCCGAGCGGAGCTGACATTTTCCTCCATGTTGAGCAGGAAGCGGAAGCTGGTCCCGTTCATCTCTCCTCGGCGACGGCGGCGTCCCAGCGCCGGGCGGGGGACGTGGATCCAGCGCTGTCCATACATGGGCAGGTGGACTGGGACCCCCCCTCCGCGATTACCGATGCCAGCTGGAAATAGCTTAACCTGACCACTGTCCATGCGCGTGCGTGTACGTGCGTATGAATAGAATAAAAAAATAAAGGCGATCAAGTATGCAGGCAGTACACCTACTGCGAGATGACAGGCTTATTAAAAACCAGTCATTCAAATGCATCTAAAAAAAGGATTGCCACTCAAGAAGGCCCAGTTTGTAAACATTAAGCCATTAGAACATTAAACCAAAAATTCAGTGTCAGCGTTTTCAAGCACGTGTCAATTGGGCTAAATGAAATCATATGAAATTCGGACACGTTACACGTCAGTTGTGCATGTATCAATTGTTTATTGCTCACAGTGACTATGATGGTCTCTTGTTCAGCAAGACTGGTCACACTGGGCTCACACCTAAAAGTAAAATACAATGACGTGGTCAAAAATCAAGTCATACGTCATCACAATGCAACGCTCCCCAACTCAATATATTTTGTCTGTAACACAACAGGCCTCTTTTGATCACACTCCCCCACCCCACACAGCAGATAAAAGCGTATAATGTATAATGTTGTACAATGTTGCTCTGACTTTGCAGTCCGCTACAGGAATATACATTCAAAAAGGGATCTATACTGGGAAATACTGGAATATTGAAGTTTATTATGTTGTGTAAGGTGGGTTGAGAGGACCCACCTTGCTGTTCAACAGGTCCTTAAGTATTTCCTGGTCCTCGCTGTTCTGGAGGCTGCTGTTACCCGATGGGATCAGTGGAGTGTCTATATCTGAAGGGACGCGGACAAGATGAGACGCTCGTACTGTATGGGCACACACATGCACACACACACACACACACACACGCTCATTCCATGTCTCCCGCGAATAACGTAAGGTGGGCAGCAAAAGAGGGGGCATAATTCATATAGAGGGCTCAAGCTTATCATTAGCCAATGACATGTTTTGAAGCAGTGAGTGACAGGGGAGGAGGCACTCTAGGAGCCAATCAGCTTTCAGCTGGGGACAGTGTCTCTGTGACCCCACCCCTGTATACGCCCCTGGATACCGTTTACCACCCCGCGCATGGGGATGTGCTTACCTGTTTCTGCGTTTATCATCTTCACAGACACCAAAGTTATGCTCTCTTTCCTGCCGGTGATTGGGACGTTGCTGGGGTGGCGCGGGGGGGCGGTTAAAGATACTGTCAACCAATCAGCAAACAGGCAACAAAATGCTAATGGGCGTAACTTTGCGTTTAATGTTGCAGGCATATCTTAGCATGCTATGCTATGGTATGGTATGCTATGGTATGGTATGGTATGGTATGGTATGATATGATATGCTATGCTATGCTATGGTATGGTATGGTATGGTATGGTATGGTATGGTATGCTATGGTATGGTATGGTATGGTATGATATGCTATGCTATGCTATGGTATGGTATGCTATGGTATGGTATGGTATGCTATGGTATGGTATGGTATGGTATGGTATGGTATGATATGCTATGGTATGCTATGGTATGGTATGGTATGGTATGGTATGATATGGTATGGTATGGTATTGTATGGTATGATATGCTATGCTATGCTATGGTATGGTATGGTATGCTATGGTATGGTATGGTATGGTATGGTATGGTATGGTATGATATGCTATGCTATGGTATGGTATGGTATGGTATGGTATGATATGCTATGCTATGCTATGCTATGCTATGGTATGGTATGGTATGGTATGGTATGGTATGGTATGCTATGCTATGGTATGCTATGGTATGCTATGGTATGGTATGGTATGGTATGGTATGATATGCTATGCTATGCTATGGTATGCTATGGTATGGTATGGTATGGTATGGTATGGTATGATATGCTATGGTATGCTATGGTATGGTATGGTATGGTATGGTATGATATGCTATGCTATGCTATGCTATGGTATGCTATGGTATGGTATGGTATGCTATGGTATGGTATGCTATGGTATGGTATGGTATGGTATGGTATGGTATGGTATGCTATGGTATGGTATGGTATGGTATCAGGAGTACATACCCTTCTGACACTACAGAATCACAGATCTTTTTACCTGCAAAAGAGAAGGAGAGCTATTCTACTCTGAGATCCCTCGACATTGCCGTTACTCTGCTAGGACCCTGATCCCCAACTCCAAAGGCTGTGATGGTGACTTCTAAGGTCACCATAATATTAATATATGTTTTTGTTGCACTGCAGACGTAGCTGTAGACGCTGAAGCTGAAGCAGTTTTGCTTAAGTACTTTGGTCAAAACTGCAAACAGACGTCAGCTTCATTTTGTGTATATCTTTGCACTACATGATATCCGCCTAACAGTTCAGAAAATTCCAGAGCTTTCCGGATTCCGGAGGATTACGGCGAGTTAGGTTATGGGGAGCACAAACACCTGCCTTCACCCTTGTTCTTTTGGCACCGTCCTCTCATATTCACGGCGGTCACCAAAATCACCATGACGACGACCAGGACAAGAATGAAACTCATCACTCCTGGAAGAGAATAAATGGCGACACAAGAACGGCGAAACAGCTGGATGCGAAGACTGACCTCGTTCTCGTTTTCGATAATGTGTCTTGTGGTAAAATGATATCTCTTTGAATAATTAACGATAAACTGAGGCTGAGTTGTGCATAGCCGTTGGGCGTGATGAATAAACACTTTGCGCTTTGGTGTGTACCGAAGGCGATCATGGCCAGGCTGTTCTCCGGAGCCGGGGTGGGAACAATCCCTGTGGTGCTGCTGAGTGACGCTGGCACTACTGCGGATTTCCTTGCAGCTGTTGTCAGCACTAGGGCGACAAAAACCAGTGGAAGCCACCTCAGCATAACCGGCCCTTCCCATTACATTCATCCAGACGCGCAGCCCATCATCGGACAAGTGCATGTCCTCATCAAAGTTGCATAACTGAATGGAAAAATGTCGTCATAGTCACTACAGTCCATTTCCCCTAAACTGCCTGTTCTGGCTTCAGCCCATGAAAAGCACAGGATTTCAGGGCTCCTTGTCCCGGAATAACAGGATACATATGCCAGAATCCATTTTGCTTAATGTTTTATTGTGTACATGCCACCACCACCACCCCCACCCCCCGCCCCCCAAATTTTTTTGTAGGGGTTATTACTGAAACAATGGAGGAAGTGACCTGATCTAGTGGAATGGGAGGGTGTCACGGCCTGGGGGCGGGTCCTGCCTGTAGTGGGCATTGCCCGCGCCGAAGTACGGTTGGCTGTGCTGGTGTTTCCTGTAATATTAGCCAATCGTTAGCATGGATTATCCACACTGGCTTCCTCACATACCACATGTTCGAATTACCTTACAAGGGAAACCAGACAAGAGCTCAAGATAAATGGACAATAATAAATTTACTCATAAAAGGGGGGGGGGGGGGGGGGTGGCTGGAGGTACCCCTGTGGTACCCCTGTGGACCCCTGTTACACCCCCATTTCTGAAAAGAACAGCTTCAGCATGACAGAGCTAATTCCTGCCATTTTAGCTGATTCATCCCTGATCCCATGAAAAAATATTACCTGGTGGGGTGACTGCTGGGCTGCTGTCCCTGATAGTGTTCCTTAACGTTGTGGCAGCTGTACTTGTACAGAGATGAATATGCAACATATTCATAGTAGAAACAAGAGAAAAGTAAAGCAGATGTTATCGGCTAGGGTGAGATTTAGCAGCAAAGTCCAAAAGACAGGCTTGCCTGAGACACTCGATCTGCTTCTTCTCTATTATAGTAACAAAGGTCCCTATTGCTTGTACTGCTTACCATCAATCTGCTAAACCAAACATATAAACCGGGCATAAAGGTATAGATGTCTACGACTGGAAAGAATTGTTAAATATCGGGACAGTGACCCAAGCAGGTCAGATACCAATGATAAACAGCATGACTTGCGGTGAAATGTTATTTTATGATACTCAGTGACATGAAACACAACAGTGGGATAGCAGGTTTAGAGAGGGTCAGATAAAATAAAGTAAACTAAAAGAATAAACTATGAAATTAAAAAATAAGGAGTTACATATACGATGAAATGTCACCTGGCGTTTCTGACGTTGTGCGATGCATCGGGTCAGATTTTACAGTCACAGGCAGTGTCTTGTCTTCGCTCTTTGATTCCGTCACATTTTTTCGGCTAAACGGGGAAGGTGATAGCCCAAGAATTGGTGGGGTCTCTGAAAGGTGGATGACAAAGTCTGATCTAACCTCCCAGCTTCAGCTACTGACACTGTCTGTCGCATCCTTTTCGAAATATCAGGTTCTAGAGCACATTGACTCAAAGGTGACAGGCTGTATGTTAGCACCCATGATAAAACAGGCCTTAATGGGAAATGCACCAATGCTTCAAACTGAAACCAATGCTGGAACATCTTTAGGGTTTAAAAGCCGCTGAATGTTGCAAAATGAAATAAAGGTGTTGTAGGACGCGCAAGGCATACCTGGGGTGAAGTGCATACGCCCTGAGGACGTAGAGACATGAGCACCTATCGTCGTCCTGCCAACTGATACCCGGGGAGTTTGAGCTGGAATTAAAGCATGTAAACAATTTATTTAAGGCGTCACTCATCCCCGTCACTCCTCAGCTTTCAAAGATGCAGCTTAACGACACTCCAGTATCCAAAATGTGAAAGATTTGAAGGAAATTCACAAACTCCCCTGAGAGAACATCACCCCAAAGTCTGAACAAGCTGAGAAACAGGGGGGAACAGGAAAACAGGCATGGCTGCCCGTACACAGACTCTTCTGCTTGACTAACCTGTCGAGATGTGGCATAGATGTCCAGTCAGGAGCAGGGTGGAGCAGAAAAAATATGGGTACATTTCCGAATCCAGAGGGTCCTGCGTCTGGGTGATGGTGAGCGAGTGTCCTCCAGCACGTGTGTGCGTATTCCAGCGCGGGCCGTGTCTCCGCGCCGCTACTGCATGCGTGTGTATCTTCCTTAAGGCTCCAGCCCTTTGTGATTGTGGAGTGCCAAGTCAGTGCCCAGGCCCAGACCCCGGAGCGCCTCCCGGTGGGAGGGATGGGAGTGGCTGCTGTTCTATCGACTTCCTGTGGAAGAATGACAGGAAATATGCAGCAGACTTGCGGAAAAGACAAACAAATTGGTCCACGGCTGGTGATTCAGGTTGAGTGTGAGACAGCTGTGGCCCCAATGGCTCTGTGCCATTCCCACACATGGCCACACAGTCACGACTGACAGATTGTGTAAACTTCCTGCGCGTAACACTGTCCCTTTAAATGGAAAATATTGACACTGTCCCTTTAAATGGAAAATATTGACATTGTCCCTTTAAATGAAAGATATTGACAATTTCATCAGAAATACACACTGAATTAGTTTAAAAGATGCTAAAGATGATAAAATTCCCCTGTTTTTGAAGACAATAAATGTTTTTCTATATCTCAGTGATTTTCACCTTTTTTTTTTTTAAAAAAAGGTTTTTAAATTTATAATCGCAACTGGAGAAATAAATGTAAAACATAAGGCAAATAAGATAATAGTCACACGAGAGATTTTGGGGTCAGACACAATGAACTGAAGTTAGGAAAGGAAGCAGGTGAGATCTTACAGCAGACCCTGAAGCAGCCATTAAGCTGCAAGCAAGATGATGAGCTGAAGCATCTGCTGCATTGCTGAGATCTTACAGCAGACCCTGAAGCAGCCGTTAAGCTGCAAGCGAGGTGATGAGCTGAAGGTTCTGCTGCATTGCTGAGATCTTACAGCAGACCCTGAAGCAGCCGTTAAGCTGCAAGCGAGGTGATGAGCTGAAGGTTCTGCTGCATTGCTGAGCTACATTTTTTAGATCCAAAAAGAAAATTACAGATGAAATCCAGGAGAAATGCGAGTTAAAACAGTGACTGTGTCTTACTTACATTACTTACATGATCATGTTGAGAAACACACTACTGCTACACAACAGTGTGTCTACTTTAATCCTTAATGTTGCCACTGTATTGTGAACGTCATCCCTTAAAACTTACATCTTAATGCTTTGTGGAAATTATGACTTAAAAGTGTCTGGCTCTGTTTCCGAGTTTATAATTCCATGTAATTATGAGACACTGTTGGAACCAAAAACAATGATAAACATTACAAGCCCAAGGAAGAATGTATGCAAATGTCAACAAACTGTTCATTTAGCATCCATCAAGAGCGACCCACTACCTACCAATCTACCGACAAGCCTCTTCCGAATCCAAATGCAGGACCTGCATCGTTGCAAACATGATGACTTTGAAGTACAGTGACTAATTATGTGTCTGATAATAATAAATTAAACAACCACGCTGAACTAGCGATGGCCAAAATGAGGCATCAGGAACCATTTGCTGTATTTTCTGCCCCCACTAGATGGTGCTCTGGGTTTGCTTTGGGGCATGCTTTCAGCCCTTTTTTTTTAACAGAGAGCACCATCTAGTGGGGACAGAAAATACAGCAAATGGTTCATGAAGCGTCATTTTGTATCTTTGTATCAAACGTATCTTTGGTGCAGATTTGATTTTACCTTCAAGTTGACGTTATTATTGAAAAATGAATGAAATTCTTCATGTTCAACAATGTTTTTGATCATCACAGAAGAAATACTCGTAAAGAGAATAATTTCCACAGCGTCATGACAGCAGCTTGTGGCAAACACAGTAATATGCCTATCAGGTTCATTTCGCTGCCACTTAGAGTAAAAACGCAACGGAAGGTGAGCGAGTAACAATTATCAAGTAAAGAAGCGATATGTGTTTGCTGGTGTAAGGAAATATCATGAGACGTGTCGGTACTTCATGCATATTTTATTCAAGAGTAAAAAAGGCTTGTCCCATAGGGCATGCTTACAATGTGTGTATTGTTAGGGAGTCATATGCGAAAACTTAAGTTCCAGAGAAAAATACAAGAAAAATTGTCACAAGTTAAATTCCAAGAAATTCCTTTCTCAAAGTGTACCACATTGAGACCAAACAAAGTTCAGAAAACAGTGGAAGAATAAGGAACAGTAAGTTTAATTATAAGAATAATAATAATAAGAGGAATATTGTCAAGAATTATAATGTGAATATATTTGCCTTTTAAAAGTGAGACACGGGATTTGGGTCAGATTTGTTTATGTCGGAATAAACCATGCGATCATGCTTTGGCAGCCTGAATGTTGCTTGTCACTGAATAATATATTCATTCACACTATTGAACAACTTCTGTACATCAACAGAACAGAAAAAATAAACAGAAGGCTTCACACCTTTAAGAGCGTTTGTGTCTGTACAGCAGAAAATAAACTCAAAGATAGCAAAATAATGAAAACGTGGAAACATACAAAAGGGGAAAAAAAATTAAAAGCTATACAAATCAAAAATATAACCTTACAAATATAATTTGAAGTGAGAAATTATTAAAATCTACTAAATACCAAAACACAGCACAAATATAATCTCACATATCAATAAGGAACTTAATCGCATGCAACGATGCGTTCTGCGGATGCTGTACAAATTACTGTCTTTGTTCAGTCTGTCTGTTGTTTTTACTGTGATGGCAAAATAGGTCTGTGGGAAAAAAAGAAAGATAAACTGTGCATTTTTACTTCTTTGATCACAGGCAAGTGAGAGACAGTGGAGTTTGCTAGCACACTGAATGTGGCATGAACACACCCAGGACGGGCAGACGGAGAGCGGTCCACAGCCAGTCCCGTGTAATTACCTCACGGCTTGTCATCACCCCCCCCAAAAAAATTAGTAATAATAAATAATTAATTCTCAGGTAAGGCTGCATTGCACATAGTTTAAGGTTTTACCACTTTTAAAAATTTTATAAATATTTTATATTCATTAATAGTAGTAGCAAAACATGTTGAACAGCAGTATCATTTTATATGTTTATGATTTAAAAATGTCATTAAAATTGTTATATATAATATATATATATAACATAGCTATATAGTATTATATATAGTGGCAATGCATGTAAATAAGGAATCTCAAAGGAAACCCGAAAGACCCACACCTGACAGGAAAGGGAAGCGGCTTATGTACTTCGGGACCACTTCCTGAAAGCGGATTCACCCCAATCCAACCATGCACAGACCTGCCCCTCCCAGGCATCTGCTGCCAACAACACAGCATCAAAAGCAAAGCACCTTTCAAATCTGATGGTTTCTCTAATTAAAATTCAAGCAAAAAAAAAAAAAAAAAGAAACACATATTTCAGTCGATGAAGTCCATTGTTGTCGTTGTTGTTGTTTAGCTGAGGCCTGAATTTGCAGTTTTGCGATGTTCGGCCGCGTGTCGTCAGCGGTGCCGGCGCTAGCAGACGGCGGTTTGCGCTCGCAGCGGACGGATCACTGTATATTGCTGTTATCGTCCGTGCCGTTGGATTCTGACATGTTCATTTTGCCCATAGAGTGTCCCACGTTGTTGACGGCGTCCTTGCGTGGGGGCATCCTCTCGTTGATGCGGTCCAGGCCCTTCGCTTCCTCGAAGCTGCTGATCTTGTGTTGGGGCGAAAACCCACGGACCGCTGTTGAGAAAGAGGGGAAGAGAGGTTCTTACTGTCCGGCCGGACGCAGCTGATTTGAATGTATTACGGTCGGCTGATCGCTGCACCTGGGCTCCCCTAACGCCCCGATACACGTGTCTCAGAACCAAATACCCTTGTGATACAGGCTGCTTCCTTTACAGATCACATGAGACCGCTCACTCGTGTAAACATCGTGTGACATTTTAAACAGCCACCCCCTCCTTGTGCCACGCTTGAGCCCGTTCGGGGCGAGTCTGCACCTCCTCAGCGTCCTGCCGAGAGAGAGCGGTGTGGACCAGACCGTCTGTGAAGGCCATTCTGTAAGTGTACTGTGAAAGCCCAAAATCCGAGGTTAGCAACACGGTGACAGAGATGCTAAACCAAAGGCAAAAGCAGGACAGTAAGGAATCCCTGATCTGCGTTTAGTAGGACCTTTGTAATTGGTGAATCCCTGATCTGCATTTAGTAGGACCTTTGTAACTGGTGAATCCCTGATCTGCGTTTAGTAGGACCTTTGTAACTGGTGAGGAATCTCTCTGGTGGACATGGCCCTCACCCACGTGGCGGGAGCAGCCAGCGGGGGGTTGCTGACTCGGCGGGCCATCTGGCGCAGGATCGGGTGAAGGTCACACCGTACCAAGGTGGACTCTAGCCGGTGCTGTTTTTCTTAAGCTGGCACATGACAAAAGGAGCCGTACAGCATAGAGCCTAAACCCGGGGTGGGTGTGGAGGAAAAATACCCCCCCCCCCCCACCCTGACCATGTGACTTCCTCTCCTGAGGAGACCAGCAGGGCGAGTGGCAGGAAATGACACGGCCTAGGGCGTCCCTAAGGGCCACGAGTCCACGGTGCCGCCCCGACACGGGGAGCAAGAGGGGAAGACGGCAAAGCGCAGGCCCGCCGAGGGACTGTGAGGCCCCAGGATTTATTTTTCCGTACGGATGAAGAGGGTGAAAGGGCTTCGAGCCCCTGCGAACCAAGGAAAAAGTGGTTGGGGGGGGGCAGCTACACCAGAGGTATTTCGGTTTCCGTCAGACTGAGGAGACGAAGCTGACGACGGGGTCAACGGGAAGTGCTGATAGAGATTGACTGATAGAGAGAGAGTCGCTATTTCCTCCCGTTTTACGAGGCCCTTCAGCCTCGTGAACTGAGGCAGTCAGCCTGTGCCTGAACATTAAGCACTCGTTCACTTTCACACATGACACCTGCATACTTATGGATGGTGAATCACTAAGAGGCAACTTTTATGAACACGGGATCAGCAGTAATCAGCAATCAAAATAATCGTATTGAAACCACAGAAAACCAGTCTGATTCTAGAAAGAGTTACCAGGCAAGGCAGACTAGAGATACGAATATCACAGTTATATACATCCTCAATAGCCTTGTACTATAAATTACACAGCTCAACAGACTGAACATTTCTGAAAACACAGACCTCTGTTATTATTACGATTGCGGAGTGCAGTGGCGCACTTCCCCACTAGGTGGCGGTGCAGCAGAGCACACAGGAAACAGACACAGATGGTTGTCTTCCTGTTCGGTTTGGTTTGCCTGCCCCCGCTCTTCAGCGCCATTCCAAAAACATGTCTAATTAGAGGAATATTTACATGAACGTTTTAGATTCCAAAGCATAACACGGCCATTACTGCTTTATGTTTTTAACAGTTGAATGGCCTGTTATTGTTGAAAGCGCGTTTTCAGTTTTCAGAAGCAAATTATGTGTCAAAAAAAAACATACTGCAATAAAGACTATATTTAGTGTTTTTAAATATAAGGAAGGATACAACCATCATAATATATTCCAATAAAAATTGTAATGCATCTGTTATAAAATCTGAATTGACTATTCATACAAAATTTGATGCCAGCGCTTTTGATAATTAATTTCTCCATTGTTCTCTATGCCTTATTGTGTTTTATCATAATTTAATGCCTCAGCACACCATATGCAATGCTACACCTGTGCTGTAAAGAGGGAGGGGATGATTCCAAAGGCCCCCAAAAATTTGGAATACAAATGGATTGGTCTGGGTTTGGGGGCCCTAGAATCCCTAGTGGCCCCCCCTGGCTTCAGCTGTGAAATTACGGCTGTAAAATCAGCTAAATACACGTCCTCTCATTGTTAGTTATGATACTGGCAAACATTCATCTGAATGCTTTTCCAGTCCAGGGTTTGGGGGGCGGGTAACAGGAGCCTATCCTAGGAACAGGGGGGCACAGAGGAGGTACACATCCTGGA